GTATTAATTATACCGTGAAACCACGGTATATCAATCCCCTAGTTCTACGTGTCAGTTCGTGACACCCGATCCCCTAATTCTACGTGTCGGTTCATGACACCCGCTCCACTAATCTTATTATGTCAATCGATCAAGCCTTCTTTTATACCAAGACATATCAATCTCATTACTTTAGTTCATCAAGCCTTCTTTTATACCAAGGCATATCAATCTCATTACTTTAGTTCATCAAGTCTTCTTTTATACCAAGACATCATCATTAACAAGGGGTTTTCAAGATTGGAGTTTTCAAGATTTGGGATTCAATAAGCATGTAGAAGACTTTACAATACAAAACCCAATACATATCATTCGCTATTAAGAGTTTACTATGAAAAGCATAAAAACCATAACCTACCTCCACCGAAGAATTGTGATCAAGCAAGCTAATCCTCAAAAACTTTGCTTTCTTCTTCGTTTCTCTCCTCTCTCTCTCTCGAGATCGTTTTTCCCTCTCTTTCTGTTCTTTTCTTTTTCTTATTCAAACCCTCTTTCTTTTACCCTAATTAGCATATAATTAAATATAAAAGGTGGTGAATTAACCCATTAGTTAATTCAAGGTTATCTCTTTTAACCCTCAAGTATTTAATTATTAACATTAACCCACTAAATTTATAATTATAGCATGAATAGTCCAAAACGTCCCTTAAAACATTTAAAGAAATCCGACCCCGCCTGGGATTACGCAGTCTGTGACGGGCCGTCGTGCCTGCGACGGTCCGTCCTGCTGCTCCGTCACAGAGTTTAGAGACTCCATTCCATTAAAGGGTCTGTGACGGTCCGTCGTGCCCACGACGATCCGTCCTGCCATTCCGTTACGAAGTTCAGAGAGTCGATTTCAGTACCCAATTTTCAGAATTCTAAGAATTTTGGAACGAGACACCCTCGACGGTCCGTCGTGCCCATGACGGTCCGTCGTGGGTTCCGTCGTCTCAGCCAATTTTTCCAGAAATAAAATCTGCTGCTCAAAACGACTAAACAGGTCGTTACAATTATCTAATATATACTACTTTAATTTCATTTAATATTATTTTAATAATTTTCACCAATAATAAAAAAATTATTTTATTATTAATTTTCCTTATAAAGAATACACAAAATTAAAAGGGTAAGATCAAAAAATTAATTTAAATACAAATAACAATACAATAGATAACATAATAACTTAAATACAAGATAAAATACAATACATAACAAAATAATTAATTCGCAATGAAACAAGAATTATGTCGAAAAGATGTGGAACACACATTCGGAGTAATGCAAGACCGTCATGTTTTTGGAGAAAGGAAGTGCTACATGATATCATGACTACATGTATTATGCTAAAAAAAGTGATAATTGAGGACGTGATCTTGATGCACCAATTCAAGTTTTCGTAAAGACTGCAATTTCAACGACAAAAATGGTGGTTGATGAAATATGCAATTTGAACAATTTTTTGCTAAAAAATAATAAAATTAAGGACAAAAATGCTCATTTTGAACTCCGTAATGCATTAATTGAGCACTCATTGGAGCAGCGTAATAATTTCAAAAAATGAGTTTTATTTAATCATATTTTACTGTTATTTGACTTTGTTCATTAATTTATATATTATATAATATTTTCTTGCAATTTATGGTATTTAAAAATTTAGAATAAAATATAATTTATATTAAATAAAAAATTTTAGAAAACAAAATTTTCATCACATGAGAATTATATAAAGTAATCATGGAAAAAGAAATAAATAATTTATATGAAATAAGAAAATAAGAATAAAATAGAAATAATAATATAATGTTAAGGAGAAAGTAAAATAGAGAATTGAGTTAGAGTTGACTGTGTGAAAAAATAAAAAACTCCATATTTAGAATGTAATATAGAGTGTAAGGTTGTAGATGCCTTTAATAAAGAGATAATTTTAAGCATGAATATATCTTTAGAGACAAATTTGATGTAATAGGCGAAAGAAAAACATTTTTGAATTATTTTAAATAGTTAGAGAATATTTTTTATTTCATAATACGGGTGATGGAAAAAATGGATACAGTAGACAAAAAGAGGGTAATATCGAATCATTTTTACCATGTTAATTTTTTCTTTTTTTAACCCTTTATCGTACACCTCTATATTTATAGTTTTTAATACTTAATAATATATGACTTATTTTTGAATTTTCCTTTCATTGTCCTTTCAGATACTATTTGAAGCTACCTCATGTGTGCAGAAGGTCACTCTAAATAGACCTACAAAATTGAATTGTTTGACTTTCGAAATGGTATGTTGAACTTCATTATTTTGCTTTCTTTTTTTTTTTTTAAATTTATTGGGAGAGAGAATGACAACAATAACTCATACATTATCTTAAAAAAATAAATTAAATATATACATTCTTGTTTTATATGTTTTTTCATGTCGCCAAATTTATTTTTGAATTTTGCAGATTGGTGAATTGTTAAGAACTTTCGAAGAGTATGAAAAAGATCCACAAGTAAGGGCTGTAATAGTTAAGGTAATGAAGAAGCAAACATAGTGATTTCTCAATACATTTACATTGTATAAATCCCCTATTTTGTTATGAAATAGGGATTAATATAAAAATATTACAATCAAAATAAATGAAATAAAATGGAAAAATAATGACATTAAGGGTGTGTTTGGTATGAAGGAAAATATTTTTCAAAAACTAATTTCTAATTTTTTCATGTTTGATTTAATTGGGTCAAATGTTTTCCAAACCAACTTATTTTCCTCAAATTTAAGAAAAATGATTTTCCTTCAAAATTTAAGGAAAAATTTTCAAAATTCTCTTTCAACCTCCTCATACCCACCTCTACCAGCCTCTCCACCCACCTATCCTACTAGCCCCCAAACCACCCCTTAACCCTAAAAAATATTAAGTTTATTTTTTAATAAGTTATCTACTTCAAATTTTTATTTTTTTCACCCCCACCCTCGACCTCCCCCCCCCCCAACTAACCCTATCCAAAGAAAAATAATTTAAGTTTTTTTAAAAAAATATTTTCAACTTTAAAGATTCATTTTTTCACCCCTAACCTCGAACCCCCACCAACCCCACCGAACCCACCAAACCCCTACCAGCCCTTCCTCCCCCCAAAAACACATTTATGTTTGTTTTTAAAAAATATTTTAGACTTCAATTTTTCATTTTACCCTACCCTCGATCCCGCCCCCCACCCCCTACCTGCCCCTCCCCTCCACCCACAGACACAAAAGAAAAACATTTAATTTTGTTTTAAAAAACTGTTTTAAACTTTTAACTTTTATTTTTTCATCCTTATCCTCGACCCCCCACCCCACTAGCCCCCTACCAACCAACCCTTACCCCCCATCCCCAACCCCACCCTGAAATTTTTTGTAAGTTTGTTTTTTAAAAAACTTTTAACTTCAAAAATTATTTTCTACTCCAGTAAAAAATAAAAGATATTTCTCAAAAAATATTTTTCATTCAAAAATCAAACACTTAAACATTTTTCCGGAAAATATTTTCTAGTCACCAACAAAACATGAGAAAATAAGTCAAATATCTACTTGTTTATCATGAAATATATTTTCATTCATACCAAACACACGCTAAGAATTTTATGTGAAAATTCTATTTTAATAAGGAAAATACCATAGGCAGGAGAGAGGCACCTGATGTTACTATGCTAAAATATTTTGTGCAGTGACAAGTACAATACTCAAAATGTTCATAGCATACTCAAAATAAATAATTTCTTTTTAATTTTCATCTTTTAAAATGTCGCTTACACTCTAATTTTTCGCAATCGATAAAATACTCACCACTCTCTCTCTATATATCCTTTCTCAATGATGTGTTTTGAATGAGGAGCTGAAGAGCTCCTTTGTACATTGCAATATGCTACGAAGACTTTCTTCCCTTAATTCTGGTCCGGACCCCACAAATCGTTCCCTCTAGTCATATGCATCCCAAGAAGGTTATTTTTGTCTTTTCAAATAGAGCCTCCTGCGCCAACAAGTTCTTTGCATAACTTAATCTTGTCTTTCGGTATTACTTTGATTAACATATCAATAAGATGTTTACTTATGCGAAATTATTTTAAATAAAATAATTCACTCTCCATTTTGTTCACAAATTTTATGATATCTCACGTTGATGTATATTGTCCTTGCATAGCACATCAAATTCTTTCTTAAGTTTATTGCACTCTTATAATCACAATAAACAACATACTCCATCTATCACAATCTAAGTTCGTGAAGGTATATCTCGAGTCATATCATTTTTTTGCCAGCTTAAGTAGTTGCAATATACTCAACCCATCTTCTTTGATTATGGTGATATAGCCCTTGAAAGAGTAAATAGGTATCAATAGCCGTTTAAGATTGAATTTGATCCTAAAAAACACAAGCATTCATCTAAGCTTTCTCTCAAATATGGAAGTATCCACTTAACCGTTTATCAATGCTCTTTATTAGGATTGTCATTAGACGTTTTAACAACACAAATTACCTGAGCAATATCAGCTAGTATAAACCATTACATACACTAAAAATTAAATGAATAGAAGCATACACAACAATATTTTTGCTTTGGGGTCATTCCTCCTCGAATGCTGGTCAACCTTATTTGAACACTGAGAAAGGAGCTAACTCTTACTATATGCCTGAACTTACCTTCTAACATAGATGAAGTTGGTTCATACTATTAATTTGAAACTCACTACAACACACAAGGCATTAACGTTCACAATAGGTTACAAGGTGAAATGGTGTTTTGCATAATCACTATAGGAAGAAAGCTACTACATCAAATGTTTTCATTACATTCTTTGAAAAAAAGTCATGGTACGATATATGTGAGACATCATAGTATGAAAAAGTAATAGGGCATAGGTATCTTTGTAAGATGATGTCGCGCCCCTATTTTTCATTAAGAACGAGTTTTGTGCACGACCTAACAACTCTTTTGAGATTTTGAGTTTGGAGTCGCCACCTAACGAATTGAGGCGTGTTAGGGCACCTATCTAACTTAACTAAGTCTAGCTAAGGTAAACGACCCAGAGATCAGGGTAAGAGTTCAAATTACCTCAAGGGGAAGGTGTTAGGCATCCCTCAAGGTACACAAATATTGGTAACGACTGTATCTCATGCAATCTATGTGGGGGTTACAAGTAGCAATCAAGGTAACTTCATTATTATTTATTGATATGCTTGCTAAGTGATGACATAATATTAATCAATTAATTTTTTTAGTTAATTTAAACGTAGAAGACTAGGTGATAACAATAAATAAAAAATTAAACTCATTTTTATTCAATTTAGCATACGAGATATACGAGCAAGTAATAACACATAAAATATGATAGCAAGAATAACACTTATCACATGGTACATATATAAAGCTAACAATGCAAAAATTAAACTAATAGAAGGTACTAACCGGTTATGCAAAATTATATGTCCGCAATGAAGGATTTTAGTAAGGTTTTCAATTCACAACAATAATACAACAAGAAAGAATGATCCAAAGCCTAACTAGAGTTGTTATTTCTTTTCAAGAATAGAGAGCAATATCTAAAGTATGAACAAGGTGGGAGATGAGAGTATAGAGTAATGAGAGAATTTGTATTAAAAAGTGAATATCAATATGTGAGAGTGTGAAATAATGAAGGAAGGAGTCTTATTTATATAGTAAAAAAGGGGAGAACACATAAGGAAAAGAATATTTTGAGGAATTAAATAAATATACTATTTTCCTTACTCAAAAGGAGATTCAAATCAACCAAATAAAAAAATACCACCTCCAAATATAAGCAGGTAGGAATAAATTAGAAAGAGAAATATTATTTTCCCCTTAAATAAAGAAGAGTCAAATCATATATTTTATCACTTTTTATTTTATGTATTTATTTTACCAAGTGTAAGGTTATTTTTTACCAAATAAGAGCAAGCAAGAGTTGGGCTGCCATAATTAAACACTATTAGCCACAAGGAAATAAAATAATTATATCTTTTAAAAAGGAAAAGGGAAACAATTTATATACTATCAATCAATATTATAATTAACAAATAGGAAAATATAAGGAAAGAAGTAGCACACTCTTCCATTAGTTAATCAAACTAACCATAACCAAGAGGGTCCAATAAATTAAACTAAATTAATTATGGGTAAGTAAAGAAAATACGCATAAATCTAAATCAAAGCAAAAGCGCAATTTGACCAAGCAATTAGCTAAATTATTATATTTATGGGATCCTGATAGATATGGAGGAACAATTATCAAGCCGAATTAACAATGTAAAAATGTCAAGAAAGAATAAAAAAGATTTTTATCATAAACATGAAGTAGTAAAAATTGACCAATTTTCCTTAAAGCATGAAGCAAAAATAGACCAACTTTTGTGAATATCAATCAGATTTCTATCCCTGCATAGTTAGAAAATATCGGTCACGACAAACAGTCACGCCTAAATTACATTTAATTTACAGAAAAGTTGTTTGAATTTATCAATTATGGGTCAATGATTTAGTGCATCACATTTCTACAGATAAAGACAAATCATAGAAAACATTTGAAGTTCTAAAGAATATTTTAGACCAATTCCATTACAATTGATAGGATAAAACACATATATTGGTTCTTTTTTTTTTCATAGGACATCCATGAACGTCAAAGTAATGCTAAGAATTTAAATAATCAGACGAAAGAGGGAGCAAACCTGAACGGAACTGTAACAGACCAGTTTTAAATAACTTCGAAATCTTATAGAGGAGGCTCCGTCGGAGCTCGTTGTTTTTTTGCTGGTGGTGTTTCTGTCTCTCTCGTAGGCTGCTGCTGTATCACTGCTACAGTTGCTGGCACCTGCAAAAAAAAAAGAGAAAGGAGAAGTGGAAGGGGAAGAGAAGAGACGGGAGGGGAGAGAGGAGGGAAAGAGGGGGAGTTTAGAAGAGGGAAGCAGAGAGAGGAGAAGAACGGAGGGATAAAGACGGGAAGAAGAGGGAAACGAGAGGGAGAAGAGGAGAGAAGGAGGGGGTCACCGAGGAGAGCGAAGGGAGGAGCGACGGCTGCTCAAGAGAGAGGGGAAGAGCGGAAAAAGAGTAAGAGGCGGGCAGAGGAGAAGAATGGAGGGAGAAAGAGGGGAAGAAGAGAAGAGAAGGAGGGGGGTCGCCGAGGAGAGAGAGAGAGGGGAGAAGGAGCGACGGGAGAGGGGAGGCGGCTACCGGGAAAGGGAGAGAGAAGATGTAGGCAGATAAAGGGTGAGGAGAAGAGAGGGAGAAAATTTTTAGGTTTTGGATCTTTTGGTGTTAAAAGAGAGAGATAGGAAAAGTTGATCCCAACCGTTAGATTAGATAGAGATATAGGGTTAGGATTCGATTAGAATTTAAATATTTAAATGAACGAATGAGATTAGTAGCTGAAGTCTTGAAATCAGATGGGAAAATATATGGAAAGGCTAAAATTGCAATTAAAATGGCTAGAATTGAATGAAAGAGTGGCTATGATTGAAATAAAATTTGAAGTGGAGTGGCTAGAATTGAAAGAAATTAGAATAAAATATGTTAAGATTTAAATAATTTTGAGGAAAATTCAGGAATTACTATTTAATTGAAAATCAGTTAAATTAATTCATTAATTATTTAAAATCTTTTAATAACATTTACAATAATTTTATTAAGTGAACTTATTAAAATATATGATTTTCAAGGGAAATCGATTAAAATTTTAAACTTTAAATAAAATATTAAAATACGTATTTAATCGAATAGTAATCCTAAAAAAAGGTTAAAGATCCGTCAAAATTAGGTGCCAACAGATGACATGGGTTCATAAAGCATGGATGATATAGTTTAGAACATGGCATTCTATATGTGAAGTAATTCAACATAGAACATGGGTACCTTGGGTATTAAGTAAGTATAGAACTAAGATTACTTGGGAGACATGACTGATAGCTTTTAAGAATAACAACACTTCCTAGCTATGCTCTTAATTCTGAACACTACACTTTACTGGCTGCAACTTCATAGTTCCCACAAAAGTATGTATGGATAATACTCTAACCATGGTCTAAATCTAATTGCATGCATTTACTATGTTTAAGTCTAACTAGGAGTTGTAATGTGCTACACATATATAAGATAATCATACTAATATACTATCTTGGGTACACATCTTAAGGTTTTTCTTCATCTAGTGACTAAGCCACAATATATTGTTCTAATCTAAGGGTCAATGAACTATGCTAGTACCATCACATTTATTGTAGGTTAACATTAATTTATCATATACGATATGTCAAGCATATTAGACCCAATCGCAAAAATAACATCATCACCCTTATAATGTCATCATTTTTCATTACCATGATGCTCATCTATAATTCAAGCTTAGTATATAGAGAACATGGATAGTACCACAATTTTCAAAATACTATACTAACTAACAAATACTAGATTAAATTGAGAAACACTAATCTAGTTAGACATCATGACAAGTAATTGATCATACAATTATCATCATGTAAACTCATTTCTTGGTGCAAGTATACTATGAATCATCCTAACCAACAACTCTTTCTTTATATTCTATCATGAAAATTAGACGATATTTACTACTCTCTAGTAAAAACAAAGGGGCTTATCAAACCATCACTTACCCTACAAATCCATGACTTTAGCTACATGCCTCAATCAACCTTAAATGATTTCTCATTGTCCCAATCACATTTTTACCGCGAAACGCCTATGCAAAATTGTTCAACGCAGGCGAAATGCATGTACAAATGATATGATTCTAAAATTTTCCTCAACTGGTGTTTCGCCATTTCATAATTTTATTCAACACTAACCAAATGCATATGCAATATAGAATGTCTCACAAAACTAAACTGATCATTACTTTTGACCAAGATCTCAGAGTGATGTGAGGTTGACAGAGTTGGAAAAGAAGGCTCAAAGACATTTAATTTGATGGACAATGAGACACATAACTCTTCATATTCTAAGAGATATGCTCATTTAAACATGAACAAAGTAAAATCTTGTACCGAAAATTAATTTATAAGAAGCTTTCACCTCAATGTTATACTAGAGGATTCTTATGACCTTAATTCTATCAACAAAATATCTTCTACACTTGGCAATTTATTTTAACAACTATGCATAATTAGGGCTCACTCCGTACAGATCATCTATATGCATATGTAGAGTGGTTCGGAACTTAACTTTAAAAAAATATGGATTGTTATATAAATCAAGAGGAGATGCAAGAAATTATTCTAAAGGACAAATATGAGTAGCAAGAAAGGACAGACGAAAGAAAGAACTCATTTTGAAAAAATGAATGCTTGATGTAGAACGTAACTCTTAGAAGTTTAATTAAAATCGAGATGGAAGATAATCTAGGGGAGGATAAGGACAAAGAAAGTGTTTTGACGATAAAACTTGAACAACATTTTAGGTACTTTCTCAACACTTGGAAAAAGTTGTTTGATAAAGTATTGATACACCAACAATCCCCTTATAGTTCTTTTGGGTCGGGTCTAACTTAGTCCACTCCACTCTTTGTTGCTATTTTATCTTTTGAAGTGTATTTTTTATTCGAAAAAGGGCCTAAAATACCCCTAAAGTATTAGAAATGGTATAAAATTATCCTCCATCCACCTTTTGGCTTCAAAATACCCTTCCCACCCGCCTATTGGGTCCAAAATACCCTTCCCACCCACCTATTGGGTCCAAAATACCCTTCAAGGGTATTTTAGGACCCCTTGATACAGCTGAATTATGTTTTGTATTTTATCAAAAAATAAAATGATCTACCGTCTAACATTCACTTAAAATATTTGTAAGTAATATGATACATGATAAATGGGTATTCTAGCTAGTATTTAGTTTTCACGCCCCGAGCGTACACCTTGGATGTAGACGTCACTCGAGAATCTTCGCTGGTCCACAAGCGAACCCTTGACTTGGATCACTACTCAGAGTAAGAATTACTCAAAAAAAAACTTCACTTGTAAAGATAAACTCGAGAATCATCACTGGTCCCCAAGCGAACCCTTGTCCTGACTCACTACTAAGAGAAATACTTGCTCAACAAAATAAGAACTTCAGTTGTAAAGATCAACTCAAAAGTTTAAAAAATAACTCAACTCAACAAATGTTTGAAAGTACTTGAAATAAACATGAGTAATAATCTTCAAAGTCTCAAAACATCAACAAAAAATGAAATACTCCTAAAGTACTATTGTCTATGAAACTTGTAAATACTACGATAGATGTTGGTACAAGACCAACGACATCTTAACAAAGCTAAAAATGTAAATGTGGAACCCTATGAATAGCAAGGAGGCTCATCAAAGCTACTACGATAGATGTTGGTACAAGACCAACGACATCTTAACAAAGCTAAAAATGTAAATGTGGAACCCTATGAATATCAAGGAGGCTCATCAAAGCTAACTGGAATGCAAATGGTATTAATAGAGCGCCTGTTGATGACCCTGAACAATTTTATTTGCATCATAAAAAGATGCAGGTTGAATAACATCAGTATATTGTATGTACGAGCATGTAAGGGTAAAACTAAAAGCAATAGATAATTGATCTGACTAGGTTGAAAGGAATACTCACGTCAACTCAACTCAATATGAAATCAACAATATAGATGTAATACTTTAAGCATTTAAAATAGTAATTATCACCTCAAAATGTATTAAAAACACAATAACAAACTCTACTCTTATTTGGGAGATTCTCTAATTGACAACCATCAATATGAGCTATACAACATTTTGTCCACACTGTCAGAACTATACTATACCTTGGCGGGATATTGAATACCTCAACTAAGTGGATCCATTAAGCTATGTTTAAAAGCAATAAGAAATCATCCAAAAAGAATGATCTTTTACCAATGTTGGCATACATGGTTTATGATAATTTTGAGTTGGATGAACTTATCTCCATATTGATGCTCAATACCACTCCTAAAAATATAACTCATACTCAAATGTGTAAAAATATATCTCTTTCTCAGTTTGAGGTAATTACTCAAAAGATCCTCTTAAAAAAGATAATACTCTAGAACTTCTTCGAACTTGTAAAGTCATTTAGGAATTGATGTTTCTTTCTTTTAACTATAAAAGTATTACATACTTGGGAATATTTAGTTCCTTTTTACTCATTCTGAAACATGAACGCAACTGTCCTCCTCCTCATACTCAATTACTCTAGATTTAGTTCAAAACTTTAGTTAATTGCAAAAGAATTCTCAAATTTGACTCAAAGGGACCTCTTGAACTTTCCTCTAAACTTTACTTTAATTTGAAGTTCAAATAAAGAGATTTGATTTAGGATCTATATGATCTCTCAAGGACTAATGATGACTTTAAGAGTTAATAATATCAAGAAGAGACCGAAGGCAGGATTTTAAATGATTCACATGGGATGAAGAGTAGAGAAGAAATGGGTTTGGCGATTCTGGCGCATCAATGATGCATCACGCTAGGCCGAAAAGTACTTGGAGTACTTTGGGGTGCACTGTCGGTGCAGGGTGTCGGCCCTCCTGCCGCTATGGGAGTGCATTGCCCCAGCCTGAATCCAAAAATCTAACGAATTTTCTTGTTTAACTTCGGGTCCTAATTAATCTAGAATCGATGGGTTTCTTCCAAACATTCTTTGATTCATTAACCCAACATAAATTCAATGAAATATCACTCAAATTATGTCAAGAAATACCACTCATTTGCAAGACCCTCACCTCAAGAACTCAAAACTCTACTGTTAAAGAATAAAAGTTAAAACTTAAGAACTTCTCAAGAATCTCAATACAAACAATTTTAAGAAGGAATTCACGAATGAAATTTCATGATTTGTGTGAGGGAGAACAAACCCAACACTATGAGAAACTTACATATCTTGAAAGAACCCTAGTTCTTGGTGAAATTCTTTAATTCTTGGAAGAACGCTTGAAACTCCTCTTTTCCTCTTTGAAACTTAGCCCTAAAAGTCTAAGAATATTAGAATGTGAAAAATAATTTAGCGTCTGATTAGAACCTTAACCAGGGTGAGGAAAATATGGTCAAGTTGTGTCAGGCATGGAAAATTCCAAAATATCCCTTTCTCAAATGGATGAAATGCCTTAACTAGAGATGTTCAATCAAATGACCATAACTTCTCATTCTGAGCTCTAAATTTGGCACACTTGGCAATTTTGTACAAAGACTCTGAGACCTTCAGTTTGATAGCTCATGGACCCTCTAATTCTTTTTGTGCTAAAATATATGATCGTTTAAAATTTACACGAGATTAAGAACTGACCAAAGTTCGAGGTGTTGCATTAGTCATTGTTAGTTTCATCTTTTTTACTGAACTTATGACATAAATGCATTCTATAGATTTAATATAAACATTTTAAAACTAATATCATGTCTATAAGTATTTAGAGTTCCTACCTTTAGACACTAATTGTTATTTTATTTTTCAATATAGGGAAAAGGAAAAGCATTTTGTGCTGGGGGAG